CACAGCACAGCGTGCCGCACAACCGCGCCTGCTCCCACCGTGACACCGCCCCACAGGAAGCTTCCTTCCACCACGGCCCCCTCGCCCACCAGGCAGTGCGCCCCCAGCACTGACCCGCGCACCACTGCCCTCTCCGCCACCACCGTGCCCTCCCCCAGCAGCGTGTCCGGGCCTATCACCGCTGACCGTGCCACTGACACCGCTGCAGGTGGTTGGGGGAGGGGGGCATGGACGGGAGAGGGAGGAGAGGGGGAAAGAAGGGAGATGGGGGCATGGAGGGGAGGAGCAGGTGGGACAGGGCTTGCAGATTTGGTGAGTGAGAAATGAGTGCCATGCAGTGCGCGCCCACCACTGACCTGACCCGCGCACCACTGCCCTCTCCGCCACCACCGTGGCCTCCCCTAACAGCGCGTTGGGGCCTACCAATGCTGGCCGCGCCACTGACACCGCTGCACTGCACGCAGCACAGGGGGGAGACGAGGGAGGAGAGACGGGAGTAGGGAGGGGGAGGAGGGGAAGAGACGGGGGGGGGAAGGAGCAGAAGAAGGCAGGAAGAGGGCGATAAGGTTGAGACACAACAGCCAGTGCTGCAGTACACGTGAAACGGTTCACCCCTCTCGCCAGGTGAAACGGTTCACCAGGCCCTGCACCTACACATCACTTTCTTGTGCACACTCACCAACCCCCCCACTCTCCTCTCGCTCACCTTCCTCGCACTTTCCTCTCACTTTTTTCGCACTTGCTCTTACCTTCTTCGCGGTACCGGTTGCCATGGGTGACGGCAGTGCGGCCGCTGTGGGCCCCGAAGGTACAGTCGGGCGCGAGGGGGAAGGCCCAGCGCTGCAGCACGTCCCTTGTCACCGTTGCGTACGATCGCAATGTGTCGATGCGGGCGGCGTACTGCGACTTGATCTCGTGCGTGTAGATCTTGTTTCCCATGATCTGACATATGGGGACAAGGGGGCAATGGGCGAGGGGGGAAGGGGCGAGGGGGGAAGGGGCGAGGGGGGAAGGGGCGAGGGGGGAAGGGGCGAGGGGGGAAGGGGCGAGGGGGGAAGGGGCGAGGGGGGAAGGGGCGAGGGGGGAAGGGGCGAGGGGGGAAGGGGCGAGGGGGGAAGGGGCGAGGGGGGAAGGGGCGAGGGGGGAAGGGGCGAGGGGGGAAGGGGCGAGGGGGGAAGGGGCGAGGGGGAAGGGGCGAGGGGGGAAGGGGCGAGGGGGAAAGGGGCGAGGAGACAAGGGGGAGAAGGGATGACGCAAGGGGGCAACGGGGCAGGAGGGCGAAGGTGTAAGAGGACAAGGATTGGTGCGATGAACTGGGGGAGTGCACGATGGCATGGGGATGACAGTGTGTGGGAGAAGCGGGCGGTGTGCATGGAGGGATACCTCAGCACTGCATGCAGTGCAGGGAAGAAGATAGCACGATGACACAACACAGTGACACCAGCTCGCATGGCAGCAGTGTGCTACAATCGCATGGAACAGGAGCATCAACGCGTGGTGGTGACAGCACAGCAATAGGATTGGCATGAGATAAAGATGCCATGGGTGGGCGGCAGTGTGGGCGGGAGTCTGGCATCAGCACCCATGGGCGCAGTGACTGTGGTGGGTCAATGCAGGGTGCCAATGAATTCAGCCCGCCCTGGGGACATGATGGCCTCCATTGCTCATGACGTCATCACATGTGATGGTGACATGTAAGGGAATGGGAGGAAAGAAACTTCCCAATCCCTTTGCTGCTGTGCCGTTGCTCATAAGGGTGTGGGGTGGGGCAGTGAGGGAGGAGGTGCGGGGAGGTGCAATACATGAGGTGCTCGAGGGAGAAAGCGAGAGTCGCAATGGAATGGAACATGCTCACGTCATCACTGAGAATGCTCACGTCATCATTGAGAATGCTCACGTCATCATTGAGAATGCTCACGTCATCATTGAGAATGCTCACGTCATCATTGAGAATGCTCACGTCATCATTGAGAATGCTCACGTCATCATTGAGAATGCTCACGTCATCATTGAGAATGCTCACGTCATCATTGAGAATGCTCACGTCATCATTGAGAATGCTCACGTCATCATTGAGAATGCTCACGTCATCATTGAGAATGCCGCGCAGGAAGTCTCGCCTGGGGTGCTGGTAGTCAAAGTTGTCCGTGTATAGGTACAGCACCTCTGGCGCACAGATGTCTATGCCACTGTCCTGCCATGGGGCAGAGGAGTGGAGTGGGGTGGGGTGGGGTGGGGTGGGGTGGAATGGAGTGGGGTTTATTACGCATTCTCAAGAAGATAAGGGGGTCCCTTTGAGCGTGCTGGTAGTCAAAGTTGTCCGTGTATAGGTACAGCACCTCTGGCGCACAGATGTCTATGCCACTGTCCTGCCATGGGGCAGAGGAGTGGAGTGGGGTGGGGTGGGGTGGGGTGGGGTGGAATGGAGTGGGGTTTATTACGCATTCTCAAGAAGATCAGGGGGTCCCTTTGAGCGTGCTGGTAGTTAAAGTTGTCCGTGTATAGGTACAGCACCTCTGGCGCACAGATGTCTATGCCACTGTCCTGCCATGGGGCAGAGGAGTGGAGTGGGGTGGGGTGGGGTGGGGTGGAATGGAGTGGGGTTTATTACGCATTCTCAAGAAGATCAGGGGGTCCCTTTGAGCGTGCTGGTAGTCAAAGTTGTCCGTGTATAGGTACAGCACCTCTGGCGCACAGATGTCTATGCCACTGTCCTGCCATGGGGCAGAGGAGTGGAGTGGGGTGGGGTGGGGTGGGGTGGGGTGGAATGGAGTGGGGTTTATTACGCATTCTCAAGAAGATCAGGGGGTCCCTTTGAGCGTGCTGGTAGTCAAAGTTGTCCGTGTATAGGTACAGCACCTCTGGCGCACAGATGTCTATGCCACTGTCCTGCCATGGGGCAGAGGAGTGGAGTGGGGTGGGGTGGGGTGGGGTGGGGTGGAATGGAGTGGGGTTTTTTACGCATTCTCAAGAAGATCAGGGGGTCCCTTTGAGCGTGCTGGTAGTCAAAGTTGTCCGTGTATAGGTACAGCACCTCTGGCGCACAGATGTCTATGCCACTGTCCTGCCATGGGGCAGAGGAGTGGAGTGGGGTGGGGTGGGGTGGGGTGGGGTGGAATGGAGTGGGGTTTATTACGCATTCTCAAGAAGATCAGGGGGTCCCTTTGAGCGTGCTGGTAGTCAAAGTTGTCCGTGTATAGGTACAGCACCTCTGGCGCACAAATATCAATGCCACTGTCCTGCATCGGGGTCGACCGCACGAGTGGAGTGGAGTGTGGTTACAGGGGACGAGGGAGCGAGGGGTTATCACAAGACTGAGAGAGTGGAGCTGGTGGTAGAGTGCCATTATCCATATCATGTGCCGGTGAGTGGATGGAAGGGCATGATACATCTGCGCCGTGGATGCATTTAGGGTGTGAGAGGACCGTTCGTCGCCACGTCAGGAACAAGACTGCCCCTCCAGAAACGACAAGCGAGCTGCCCCTGCAAGGCATGCTGTGCAACTCAAGCGGCAAGGGGGGGAGCAGACGAGCCAGTGGGGGGCAAGGGGGGGAGCAGACGAGCCAGTGGGGGGCAAGGGGGCGGCAGGGGAGCGAAGGGGCAAGCATCACCTCCAGGTCCGTGCGCAGTGCCAGCCGTCTGTGCCCCTGCCACACCGCCCGCTCCACAGATACTGCCAAGCTACGCCGTTCACCCGCTAACGCTGCGAGCTTGCCGGTGGGCGTGGAGGAGAGGGGGACGGGCGGCGGATCGTAGAAGAGCAGCTGGGTGGAGTCCGGGCAGATGCCAAACACTTGTGCCTCGCTGAATCCCCCAAGCAGCAGAGAATGTGAAAAACACATTCGGGGCGAAAAAAGGAGGAGAGGGGAAAAGGGAGTGGTGAGCTTGTGAGGTCCAAATATGAAGGTGCAGAAAAACGACGTTTTTTTGTGTTTTTTTTTTTTTCAAAATTTGGCCGTTTTTTTCGATATCGTACCATACCATCGTATAAAACGATAAAAAAACGGTCAGGAAAAAAAATTGGGTGAAAAAAAGCGATATTTTTTTTCGATCGTTTTTTTTCGAACCACTTTTTATGCTTACCTTTACTTTGTAGTTAACGTGTTTTTAACTGTGCTGGTTTACCAAACCTACAAAAGCATGAAAAAAGAGGGATTTCGTGCCATATTCTTCATCCAGTCGCTCACATTTTGTCTTAGTGAAGATGACAGCGATTTTTATTTAATAAGTTCACTTGATACACTCCTTTTCTATATGTTCGGCTTTATTAATAAACTATGTTTTCAATATATTTTTTCTCGTACACATATTTGTTGTATGTGTCAATGGTGCTTATAGTTATTTGTTTTGTTTCGTTCTGATATTGTTTGTTTGTTTTTTTTTTTTCGTCTAGCAAAAAAACATCGTTTTTTTCCCCAAAACCTATCGTAAAATACAATTGTTTTTGTCAATCGTTTTTTTCCGCAATCGTTTTTTTCCACCTTGAATATGATTACAACTATGAAAGGATAAGATGAATCTGTGTGCGAAAAGCACACCAGCACAAGTTAATGAGAAATAATGCTGAAGAGGGTGGAAGAAAGTTATAAGAGGTGGGTGTGTGGCGTACGAGGTGGGTGAGGGGGTTGGAGGGGCAGTGCGTGAGCAGCATGGTCATCACCGCCTGCTTGTCCTTGCGCCTCCTCTCCCTGTGCCCATGCACGCATGCTCACACACCACACCACACCACACACACAAACGCAGGAACACACACACGCCCACATGCACACATGCGCACACACGCACACACAAACACGCCCACCCACACACATCTCACCCCCGAACACACACCCCTCCCCTCCCACCCCCCCCTTCCCCCCCTCCCACCCCGCAACATACGCACACACCACACGTAAACACTCAAACTCACAGCAAGCATTCACGCACACACGCGCGCGTGCGCGCACACACACACACACACGCGCCAGGGAGGTGAAAGGAAGCAGCAAAGTCAGGCAGCAAGTGATGCAGCAGGCAGGGCAACAACCGGAAGCGATTGGATGGACTAGACTAGCATGATGAGGGAGAGCATTGAGCATGGAACTCGACAGCAGCATTGAGAGCAGCTAACTATGATGGTCATTCATTTATTTAGTCCCTGCAAAGAAAAATGCGTGGGAGCAATCCAACACATCAGTCTATGATGGTAGCTCACTTCTGCTCCGTTCAGTTCAGCTCACTTCAGTTCAGTTCGGTTCAGTTCGGTTCAGCGCGCCCTCGCTGCGCACATCAAGTGGGTGCGAGCTCTGAACCGTGTGATGCGATGCTAGTGTGGATGGGATGGGCCCTTCATATGCGTGCTGTGGGCGGCGGTGTGGGCGGGAGTCTGGCATCAGCAGTCACGGGCGAGTTGACTGTGGTGGGTCAACGCGGGCTGCCAATGAATTCAGCCCTCCCCTGCGGACCACCACTGCGTGCGGCACCATGGCCCAAACGGACCAAATCCAAGGCAGCAGCCCCAATCCATGTGGGCACAGCACAGCTAATGATGTCACCACAATGGATGACATGGCCAGCGCGAGGAAAAGGGAGGGGAAAGAGCTGCCAGTCCCTTCGCCTCTATGCCGCTGTGGCCCTAGGCGGGCATGGAAGTTGATCCAGTAACAGCGAGTCGAACAGGACGATGTCAGCCAATCCAGTGAGACCACGCACACACCCCCACCAGTGTGCGGTTTGTGACGGCAGCAGGCAGGGCAGGGCTGTGAGTCACCTGTGGGCGTGCAGCGCGTGTGTGAGCGAGACATTGGCGATGACATCCCCGCTCACCAGAATAAAATCCCCGCGGATCTAATTGTCGGGCGCGCAAGAGGGTTGCCATAGCATGCAGATGATGTGGAGGGAACAGGGAAGGGGGGCACGGCAGGGAAGGCATTGCGTGGCATGAGGGGCAGAGGAACATCAGAGGAATGACGGTTAATGGGGAGAAGGTGCAAGCAGGATGGTACAAGTGGGGAACCGAGTAATGGGATGGAAGGGGCAGCTTGGACACGACATCCAGCACCCAATTCACGCTTCATGCACACATACACGCAAGCAATAAAAGCGTGGGCAGCAGCATCAGAGATCAGTAGCACCACATGAAAGGATATGAGATGCAATCACACAAACCAGCAGCATGCCATGACTCACCACGCCCATGTGATCCATGTGTCTGAGTGCGTCCCCCACGCTCACACAGTCATGTGCCACCACTGTCGACACGCGCATGCCGTGCCGCTGCCCGCCGCCCCCCTGGTGGTGCGAGGAGGCGGAGAGGTGCATCCAGCCGGCATCCTCCAGGTGCGCTCGGATCTGATGGGGTGGACGCAGGTCAACACACGTCAATGCAGGTCAAAGCAGGTCAACGCAGGTCAATGCAGGTCAATGCAGGTCAATGCAGGTCAATGCAGGTCAGCTCAATGCACGCCCATGCGACTGACAACACTTCATTAGTATTCTCTGGGTCATTGGGGATCACTCAATTAGATGCAGGTACCTGGGGGGAGTGGCGGGCGCACCTGGGAGGAGTGGCGCACCTGGGGGGAGTGGCGCACCTGGGGGGAGTGGCGCACCTGGGGGGAGTGGCGCACCTGGGGGGAGTGGCGCACCTGTTGGGAGTGGCGCACCTGTTGGGAGTGGCGCACCTGGGGGGAGTGCGCGCAGCAGAAGACGAAGGTCTCCTCGACGCCCGCCATGGCCAGCCACTCGAGCGAGTAGTCCACCATGGCCGCGCCCGCCACCGGTAGCAGCACCTGCGTGCGGCACAGATGGAGTGGAGAGGAGGGGGAGGGGGGGGTGGGGTTGGGACGGGCAGAGGGATCTGCTTGAATCGAGCGTGTAGTCCACCATGGCCGCGCCCGCTACCGGTAGCAAGTAGCGCTGGCACGCGGCAGTAGGGGAGAAGGGGGGGGTTGTGGAGGGGGGGGATGGGACTGCTCGAGTCGAGCGTGTAGTCCACCATCACTGCGCCTGCCACTGGCAGCAGCACCTGCGTGTCACAGGGGGGAGGCGATACGAAGTGAAAGGGGATGGCGCGGGGGGGTGTGGGGGGGGGGGGGGGGGGGGGGGGGGGGGGGGGAGAGGTAACAATCCGCCATCGCCGCGCCCGCTAGTGGCAGCAACATGGATGGGGGAGGGGGAGAGAGGGGGAAGGGAGGAAAGGGGGGGTAGGAACGGCGTTGTGTGGCATTGTAACGAACGAGGTAACTGTTCGGGTCGGCAGCAGCAAGGGGGAAGGGGGAAAAGGGGGAAGGGTTGGGCGTGTTGTTCGCCATTGCCGCGCCCGCCAGGGGAAGCAGCACGTGCGTGCAGCAGGGGGGCGGGGTGGGTTTGGGGGGGGAGGGGGGGGAGAGGGAGGAGAGGAGGGAGGGAAAGGGGAGGAACGGCGTTTGTGCGCCATCGTAACAAACGAGGGGAATGGTTGAGTCGAGCGTGTAGTCCGCCATCGCCGCGCCCGCCGCCAGCAGCAGCACCCGCCGCGCACCCGGGAGAAGGGGGGAATGGCGGAGCAACGCGCGGAGACAGGGGAGTTAGTGGATTTGCAGAACGCCCGGCCGTAAGGGAGGCGCAACGACGAGAGGGGTGACGAGGAAGGCGGGAGCACACACGCGATGGGAGACGATGGGAGGCGAGAGGGGGACAGGCGTGAGAGGCGCATACCACTGTGAAGGGAGCGTGGCGAGCGACGGGTGGTGAATACGCCGACGATCCACTTCTTCCCGTACCACCGCGAGGTGGCTTTTGAGTCGACTCAAAAGTCATCTTCCTGTACCTCCGCGCTCGATCACGGCTGCTAGAGCTAGATCAGCTGCGCTACAAGATGCTTCGATTCGATACAATGCACTGCGCTTACAAATCGAGGCGGGTGTAGCAGGGGTTTAACGGACACTGGGGTGGCCGCGAGCACACACCTTGGGTTTGCGCAGCGTGATTGGTCGGAATGTCTGCGCGAAACTGTCAGCCAATAGGATGGCTTGCAGCGGCACGTGCGCCTCCTCCGCCATTCCCGCTTCCCCCGCCATTTCCGCCACCTCCACGTCGCTGCACCATCGTCGTGTCACCACAGGACGGGAGCTTGAGGGGAAAGGCGCTACGCGAAGACGAATGTGGCTCCTATGACGGTCGAACTCTTAGGGCGTGTCTCTTTTTTGATTTTATGGATTTTGACGGACTGTCTGCTTGTATGTAAACGGACAGTTGCAATAGCGAGAATCGGACTGTCCGACTCAAAAATTCGAAACACTGGACAGTCCGTAGGCAAAGCATCACTTTTCCGAGTGCAGCAGATTCTCGAAGTACTGTAGCATCGCCAGGCATCGTACACTTACGTAACCTCAGTCACACCCCATCGCCAACATCGCATAGCCAGGTCGCGGCTCGATGCCCCCTGAAAGCCAACCGTCTACCTTCTACACAATTCACATCACACCACACGAGTCAAAAACAGAGCCACACACAGAACTAGGTACGGAGGTTTTGGGTGTGGTGTTTGCCGGTCCAGAGTTCTCATTTCCGTTAGACTGCTCCATTGCGTGCTGATTGTGTTGGTTCGGTTCGAAGTGGAAGCGCTTTTGTAGTGTAGCAGGGGTAGTGGGGGTGTCTACGGTTCAATGTTCAGTCTGGCGCCACGCGCCAAAAATTCTATTGGAGATGCGGCTCGGTGTATTTTTCGGGTTGTTCGCGCGCCAATCAGATGTCAGAGAAGGAGTTCCGTCCGTTTGCTTATCGAACTGACAAATGTTCACATTGTGAACCGCTGCTTGGAGGGAAAAGTGATGTGACGGTTCGAACTGTGGACGACTTCGCTAAGCCCTTCGCGAAAGAGTCGCGAAACAGTGCGAAGTAGGTAATCTTTTCGCGAGCCGGACGGTCCACGGTTCGAACCGTCACAGTCAAAAAAGAGACACGCCCTTATGAGTTTTCTCCTCGTGGCCGTAAACCCTTCTGCTGTGAGTTCGACGAGGATCCTTCTGCAGCTGGCTGGGGAAGAACGCCTGTACTACACAGAACAGGGTTGCGCTGTGGGTCTTTGTTATGGGTTTGTTAGGGCGCGTAACAGATTCCGTCCGGACGGAGGCCTGTCCGGACATGATAGGGTTCGAAATTCTGCCACATTCCGTAACAAACTTTGCAAGCCTCTTTGCGATGTCGCCACCGTCCGGACCAAATGTGACACTTTTCTGTCAAAGGGGCTGACACTGTCCGAACAAAATCGGACCGTCTGTCATGCCTTAGGACGTGGAACATTTGGGCCATTTTTTCCGAACGAACGTACGGTTCGGAAAATACCACTCTGAAGCGTATTGAAACCCACTTTAACAAAGTGTTTGTCAAATAGACCATTTTCAACCGTTTAGACGATACGGTTCGTTTGGAAAATTTCCCAAATGTTCCACGCCCTTAGCTTTCGTTGGCTAATGACCAAATGCAGCATTTCGCAAAACTAGTGATACGTTTCGCTTCGGGAAAATATGTCACAAGTAACCATCACGGGACTCGATAACGTGAATGATAAAAAAGTAACGCGTACGGTCACTGTATCGGGTTTCCTGACGGGTTTGGTAAGTGGGGTCACGGATTCAGTCACTAACAACAGGTAAAAAATCACACGAATGGTCACACATGTAACTCCCGCCAAAAATTCCTGAAGCTCTACAAAATTCCCGCTCGCGCTCAACCAATCATCTAACTTCAAAAAAAAAAAAGAAAAAAAACACTAAAACCCAATCGGAATCGAATGCAGTTTGGGAACGGATCAACCCTAAACACATGGCGAATTGTGTTTAGGGCTGATTCATTCATCCGAAAATGCATCCAGGTTTGTTCTGGGTATTATTTTTTTGGGCAAGAGTTTCACTTGTGACGATTCACATTTTTTTTTACCAGTTGATAGTCACTGATTCCGTGAAACGTTTTATCAGTCGCGTGAAAACACCCTTTGCAGTGACCGTACCCTTTATTTTTTTACCAAAAATGTTATCGAGTCCCATGATGGTTACAAATGGCATATTTTCCCTTTTGCTTAAAATGCGAAATTAAAACAAAAAAAATGTTCTACAACTGTGATCCGGACGGCCTATCGTTCAAACATGAGTTCTCCGTCCGGACGGTTTGGATGCATCGTCCGAACTTCGGGGCCTGACGGGGAGTGTTAGGGCGTGTTACATTTTCGATTTTCTCGTACGGTTCGGACAATTACCACTCTGAAACATATTGAAACCCAATCGGACGAAGTGTTCGACAAAAAAATCACTTTCAACCGTTCAGGCGGTACGGTTAGTTTGAAAAAAAAACAAAAAAAAAAACGAAAATGTAACACACCCCTACACGCCCTACGAGTGTAACGTAGTTAGGTAGAGATGATTTCACTCAGTTGGCAAAAAAAAGTACAAAGTATGAGCGAAGGCATGAGAGCGATATAAGCGAAACATGCAAACGGTAACGCGGTGCGTGCGAGCTAGCTAGTGCGATGCTGGCATTGAGGTTCGAGCTAGTCCCGAAAAGTAGGCCGATGGGGGCCACTCGAGCAATGCATGGTTTGGTGATTAGTGCGCGCGAGGTTGGCTAAGCCCCGTTAGCAGTAAGGAGCGAAGAAAGAAACGGTTGGACTTCTACGCGATGTTGAGTAGTGCAGTAAGGAATGTCAAAAAGTTCCTTACACTACCCCCCCTACTCAAGAATCCCCTCCGCTACGCGACTGCGTGTATATTGCGAAAACCCCGGCTTCGCAGGTACACTTGCAAGGCAGGGTGATCTTCAATGTTGGCCATGGGTGCCCAGCTGCCCTCCGTAGGGGTGCGGTCCTTCCAAAAAACGAGGAATTCAATCTTCCGAATTCTCGTAGGATGGCGAATCCGATGGCTCGGATTTTTTTCGGGCTCGATGATCGTTTCCGTTGTACGACGCGGCATCGATGCTGGGCGATGGCGTGAAGTTGGCTCGTGCTGGCGATGTACGGGCGGAGCAGACTGACGTGGAATGATAGGCTGATGTACCAGTCGGTTGGTAGCAAGAGATGGGCGGTGACAGGTGTTATCATGTGGCTGATTTGGAACAGGCCACAATAACGCTGACGCAGTTTCAGTATGACAGGCAGGCGTAAGTTATGCATGTTGAGCAGTATGCAGTCTCCAGACTCGTACGTTACGAGACGGCGGTGGCGATTGACGTTCCTTTTAGCGATGATGATTGCTTCTTTTTTTTTTAATGCGTGTGTTGCGCGCGTTCGGGCAGCTTGTAGAATCTCGGCGAACTGTTGTGCATGTGGCGTTGGGTTGTCCAGACTCGATGTCATGGGCACTATGGGGTTCTGCCCGTAGTTACAGATAAAACAGGGATTGTTGCGTCGTTGCTGACGTGGCGTTGTCGCAGGCGAACTCGATCACCGGCAGTTGTTGCTCCCAGGTTGTCGGGTCGTCACACGTGGCACGAAACAGCTGCTCCATGGTCTGGTTCATTCATTCCGTCTGACCGTCGGACTTGGGGTGGTACGACGAGCTGAACTGTAGCTGAGTCCCGAACCGTTCTCAAAGATTCTTCCAGAAGTTGCTTGTAAAGTTAATATCGCGGTCGATGATCATTGCGGCTTGTATCCCGTGGAGGCGCATGATGGTTGCGATGAACAAGCGAGCGGTTTCTTTGGCTGAGATTGATTCCTGCATGCAGCAAAGTGGGCCATTTTTGCCAGTCGGTCAACGGCAACCATGGCCGCGCCGTTACCACCAAGGCTCGAAGTAACCCCATGACGAAATCCATGGTAACGTGCTGCCAGGCGCGCTCGGGCAGCGGAATCGGTTGCAGTTGACCCGCCTATTTCTTGCACGAGCTTTTCATCCCCTGACATGTGAGGCACGATCCCACATGGTGCTGTACGTCGGTCACAGCTCCACTAGTAATAATACCGCTGCAAATTCTGTCACGTCTATTCTACCCCAAAATGATTCGAGGTAACCTCGTCGTATGCCTCCTGCAGTAGCAGTTCCTTAGTTGTGAATACCCAGATGCGGTTGGTGTCTGTTTTTACGTAATATACTCCCTTAGCTTCTGTTAATTGCTGCAAACTTCGCGTGGTGAAAACAACAGCTCATAGTACGTTAAGGGGTACGGTTCCCTTCAAGTGAAAAAAAATCATTAGTTTGCTTCTGGTGGTTGTGGAAATGCGCAAGGAAAGTGGCTCTGATAGCCAAGTGTTACTAAAGCAATATAGCGAGGGAGCGAGGATTGCACTAAGTTAGCAAAATGAGTACAAAGTATGAGCAAAGGCATGAGCAAATCCTTATAAGCAAAACATGCAAACGGTAACGCGATGCGTGCTAGCTAGCTAGTGCGATACTAGTATCGAGGTTCGGGCTAGTCTCGAAGCGTAGGCCGACACGGGACAGGCAAGCGATGCATGGTTTGGTGAATAGTGCGCGCAAGGTTGGCGAAGCCCCGTTAACAGTAACGGGCGAATGAAAGGTTGGACTTGTACGGAATGTAAAAAAAAATACTTAATGGGTTGCAAAACAGAGTTGCGCGGAAAATGAAGAACGAAGCTGTCTAACTGAACTGACAACACAATGAAGGCACATGATAATATAGTGGCTACCCTAGCTTGTTTGGGAACCTCGGGAACACAACGTTGGGTGCAGGCTTAGCAGGGGAAAACCGAAGGCGACGCGAGGGAGCCTCGGTTTCAGTGATATCGACCAAACGTGCAAAGCTTGGAAGTGTGGGGTTGTACTCGAAGCAGTAAACCTCGATAAGGAAAAAATGATTTTTTTTTCCTTTACACTACTCTTCCCCCTCCCTCCTCCCCCCCCCCCCCAAACGAGGCAGATGGCACCCATGTGTCGTTCTCGCTAGGTTGGTCGGTCCACCGAATCAAGAAATCCACGTGACGCTAGAGGCATTAAGCCAAACACAATGTGTCAGGGTCAAGCGTCGGTTCCGGGACAGGGCGAGCTGTTGGGGACGGCATCTTGGCGAGCGATGTCCGTCGTGGCCGGTACAAACGCTTGAGGAA